AAAATGTGTGTCGCTTTAATTCCTTTTCCTATTTCTTATCTGAAGGGTTGTAAAGAAAAAGATGCAAAACCAGCAATTCAAGTCCTTATCACCATGGAACTACACTTTTAAAGAAAAGCATGCATTATTGGGAGGAGAAAAAAGCTTTTGAAGTGTTGAAAGCAAGAAGAAAGGGACATGCAAGAAATCTAGATAAGAAGCTTGTCAGATAAAAAAAAAAGTACAGTAAGGAGGTATGCTGAAAGAGGTCTGCTGCTTATCCACATGCAAAATGCTACTATTCTCTTGTCATTATTAACGACCTGGGTTAAGACTTTTGTTGACTGAGCGTCATATGTCCACTATATTACAGACAGTCAGCCTAAACTTTGTTCATGAAGCTTTTACATTTTCTCCAACACCAAATACTGGCTTAATATTTCTATCAGCAGCAGAAGAGGCCTCTATAGAAAAAAAATGAGGAGGTAGACATAAGTGTGAAAAGCTCCAGTCCAACTGTAACTATGAATTAAATCTCCAAAAAGAACATGCAACACTGTCATCTGCTCCTGTAAAAATGTCTCCTTTATTAAATTGAAAAAAAGTATGTTTCAAGCCAAAATTGGCTCTGTGTCTGAATCAGAGGATTAGATAGCACCCATATCTCAACAGAGAAAATAAGTGCCATCTACAAAAAGCTAAGTTTCATCAGAGGAAGCCAAAGGCAGAGAGAGACTCTGTGTGCAGTTACTTCTCAAGTTCTGCTTTCTTTCAAATTACAATATGTTGTATTTTCAATATAACGACTATTTTCTGCTGTATTTTCTACAGATCTACTACTTTATGTTTTATAACTCAACTATTTAATATTTCTGAACCAACAATGGATAGAATGACTGCGTAATGCGAGCACTCTCACTCTTCACAGAGAATTAGACTTTGCTGCTACTCTTCGCTTTACAAAGCGTTTTAATGTCTTTCAGCTCATTGTTTTGGTTTCACAGCTTTACTTCTGCTTCTCTCATCAAGCCTATTTCCAGCAGCAACAGACAGCCAATTCCAATGAATAACCTCTGATAAATCAATTGTAGGACACCTGCTCAGGACCAAACGACACACAGACAATGTTAGCGACTAGCACTGAGCATTTAGCAGCTAAAGAACCAAACTCCAATACTACATATCAGGGTATAATTCTAAACTCAAATAACCTCACTCACTGTGCAACAAACAAAAGGCAGAGACAGATTACATACCTCCACAACACACTAGAAAACCAGCAGAAAGCTACCAAAATGTAGAAGAATAACCAAAAATAAGCAATCCCAGAGTATCGCGGACGAGCCCCCATTCAGTTTGTTATTACCCTCGCTCAAGGGAAGCAACATGAAAGTAGAAAAAACAAAGTTTATTATTATTTAGATGTATTAAGTAAATAAAAGAAAACAAATAATAAACAAATTGGTGTGGAGGATTGGTGGAAGTGTAGGGGCCCATCCCCTTGTAGGTGGATCAGATGCCACTAGTTGCCTAATAGCCAGTCATAAAAAAATACACACTACAAAAAATGTTGACATTGAGATACAGTTTAAAAAGTACAATTTAAAATTAAATCAAAATTTGCAAAATTATTCATTTTGTATTTAGTAAAAACAGTGTTGCAGATTATCAATTTAGATTAGAGTTAACACATGTATAATCTTTGGCTACCACAAGACTTGGCACGCAACTAACACAGCCTGGCCTGCCACCCTACATGGGTGGCTGAAATTGCTTGCCATGCAAATCCCTGTCAACACCTGAATAACCCAAATGTCTTAGTCCACTGAAATCTGCAGCGGCTTTTCACCGCTGTAGTTAATATTATTCACAAAGAAAGCCACTTCACTACTCATGTATATTTAACAGCGTGCAGGGCAATGCATAACGCTGCCATTCTGAACCGCCTGCCCTTGAACATTACTGTACACGCTGCCATAACAAGGCAGTGTTCAAGATGCATTATTCAGATGGCCACATGCCTCCTAATAACAGAAAAACACATTTTCACTGAATAGCTCTTCAACAGCGGGAGATGAGAAAACTGCTGCTAAGACAAAACCTAAATATATCCATTTGCTTTCACACATACGGCAGGGAAGCAGCACACACACATCCATGCAGCATGCATGCAATACATGGAAGAGAACACACACACGTAAACACAATCCCCTCCCTACATAGTCACAATGAGCTTTACATTTTCCGTTTTCTGTCCCCTCCTCGTTCAAATCCCTAATGTTGTCTGACAGAACTCAGATGAAGGTACAAGCATGATGCATCACTCCAGCAACTAGGCAACAAGATACTGAACCCCAAATTGCTCCTGATGCATAGCATCGGCGTGTGAATGTGTATGAAATGACTTAGTTTCTGTTGAACGGACTTTTGGCCAATCGCTGTGTGAATTGTGGTGTGAAAGGGTAAATGTGGCACGTAGTGTAAAAGCGCTGCATGAGTGGTCAGAAGACTAGAAAGGCGGCTGGCGACTACACAGTAAGGTCCATTACCCATTTACCATACTTACAGTGGTGTAGCGGTACCATGTCTGCAGACGTAGCAGCGAGCGCAGTTGGTAGCGCGGCCCAGCTCTTATAGAGGACTCGAGCACATTGCTGGTGGGTGGCCCTTTCACGCCTTCACATACCGTGTTCAGCAGTGACTAGTAGCACAAGCAGCATGGGACAACAAAGGCTCAGTGGATTGGCTATACTCTATGGACTATGTTTAATAGAGAACAGCAGAGAAGGAATTTGGATATGAGCAGTGTTGTTAATGACTTGCTGAGCGAAAGGCCTGTAGGATGAACTTTCTAATGGGTGAGTACACCCATGTGTTATAGAGTGGGATCAGGGATTTAAATAGCCTGTAAAATGTTAGAAAATGCACTTACTGTAATCTGTGTCTGTAATAACATTTGGCCACTGTGCCATTGATGATGAATGATGATTAATGAATTGTTTATGCAGGTAACTGTGTAATCAGATCCCATCATCCATTTATTCATACTGTGTAGGCCTGTAATGAGTTGCTGTG